ACCATGAGCTCTCACTGTAATTGAGTCAGGTATTGAATCTTTAACGAAGACTCCCTTGCTCCAATATATCCATTAGGCATTAGAATTAAAATGTGACACAAGTTAAAAAGAGGAAAATTCAGCAATAGCAGCCAGTTGCAAAGTGCCTGCACGTGAATGTCTCCGCCAGATTTAAAGTGCCAGCCCCAGAAAGACATGTTGGAAAAAAGTTGCTAAAAGAAACTGTAGAAACCATAAATTATTTTTCTTTAGTGTAGACAAGACCAGAATTCCAATGTAAAAAACGAGAGGCCCAGGGAAACGTGGGAGAGAAACCTTTTCAGGCCCTTGATTTCCCCTCATTGATGTAAAAAGGGAACAAGCCCAATTCCCTTTCACTTTTTGTTTCTTCTTTGAAGGTTACATTTAACTGCTATTTCATCTTGTTTTTAAAGTGAAAAGATTATGGGCATCATTTGATTTGTTGTATTTTTCCTGGCAATGATGGATTTATAGTAACTGCATCTAATGTATGGAATTTCCTGATTAGAATGATCTTGGAGAAATTCCTTAAACATAGTGTTCATTTATCTTTATGGGAGCTATTAATTACAACCTAGTTTGACAACTGCAGCATCATAATCATAAGCAAAATCCTTATACACAAAAATTTAATCTAATGATTAAACTAAAAATAATTATATAGTTGAGAACATATGTTGATCCGAAAAGTAGGTCTTAGAGGAGAACATGCAAAAGTTGACCAAATTAGATAAATGAAGGTTATTATGATGCTGGGATGTAACTGTCTCGCTCCACTTATTATGAGTGAGGCCTCAACTGGAGTACTGCATCCAATTCTGGGCATCACACTTTAGGAAAGATGTAGACCCGGGCACTGGACCAGGAGGGACCAAGGCCCCATCACTTTTAAAAGGGAGGGCTATGCCCTCCCTCTTTTTACTGGCCGTAAGGGTGAGCAACAAAGGGGCAGGGGGGAGAGGAATGAGCGGGGGCACTGTCTTGGGGGGGGGGGGGAGGGAGAAGAGGAAGCACAGGAGTAGGCCTCGGGGGGAAGAGGCAGCATGGGGGGAGGGGCCTTGGGGAAAGGGGCAGTGCAAGGGCAGGTGATTGGGGAGAAGGGGCAGCGCAGGGGCAGGACCTCAGGGGGAACAGGTGGCAGGACCACTGTTCAGGCACCAGTGCCCTCCCCCTTCTCCCCCACATTTAGGGAGCTTCCATTGCTCCTGATGTAGACAAATTGGAGAGAGTTGAAAGGAGAGCAACAAAAATGATAAACCTGAGCTATGAGGAAAGGTTAAAAAACAGGTATGTTTAGTCTTGAGAAAAGAAGCCTGGGGGGACCTGGCAATAGTCTTCAAATATGTTAAGGGCTGTTCTAAAGAGGACTGTGATCAATTGTTCTCCATGTCCACTGAAGGTAGGGCAAGAAATAATGGGCTTAATCTGCAGCAAGGGAGATTTTAGGTTAGACATTAGGAAAAACTTTCTAACTCGAAGCGTAGTTAAGCTCTGGAATAGGCTTCCAAGGAAGAATGTGGAATCACCATTATTGGAAGTTTTTCAGAACAGGCTGGACAAACACCTGTCACTGATGGCCTAGGTTTACTTGGTCCTGCCTCAGTGTAGGGGGCTGGACTTGACTTCTTGAGGTCCCTTCCAGCCCTACATTTCTGTGGTTCTAAAAGGCTATGCAAGTCAAGAAAAAAAGGAGAGGTGGTACATGCAAAGAAAATACAGTAACAAAGCAGTTGAAAATATCTTAGTCTGCTAAATATACTAATTAAAATGATGTTATATTGGAGAAATCTGTACTTGTCTCTGATTGCTCATTCACTTGCACACTGAATATTTATGACTGCTAAATCCCAAATATGGGATGCAATATGTAACAAGGACCTAAAAAGAGGGATATACAAAAATTATTTGAGCAGGTAACTTGGAATGCTGTGAGAGTCATTCCTTTAAAATTAACGATTCTTCCTGTAATCTCAGTGTCATGATTCATTTCTGACAATTTTCTGCAGTTAAAGTGAGGAGATGCCAAGCATACGTGAGACACAGGTGACTGTGTGATTAAAATGAATGATATCCCTCAGAATGAAGGACACGTGAGAGGTATGGTTGTATATATGTTTATGTAGGGATCATGGGGTTACATAGAGAATAGGTTCCAAAGCTCAGTGTAAATGAAAACAGCTCAGGATTAGCTTTAATTTGAAAGCCTGAATTGTTTCAGCTTTGTTTGATTTCTGAACACAAGAGTGTGCTGGCTATGAATTTGGATTACTTTGGATAATTCCATCACTCCTGGCATTATTCTCAGTCATAATAACCTTGTTAAAAAGCCCAACATTTCTTAAATGATACATAAATAGTATTCTATGTTACACATCACATCACTCATACAATAACCTTGACTAGTAAAGCATGTAGGAACTGTGTCTTACAGATCATCTTTTACCTCAAAAGCAAATATCAGAATTCTAGTCCTATATTTGTTGACTAGGGACAAATCAAATTAATCCTACCTCAGGGATGGGGGAAGGGGAGATTCTCTGAGCCCCACTGTTCCCAATGTATATCACTTCAGTTTTCAGTCACTGATGTGAAGATACGCATTGAATGAGGATAGGATTGTCTCCTGGTTTGGGTTATGTGGATAACAATACCTAGCAGTTTGTTGTTTGGGTGATCTTCACTTTAAATTTCTAGGCTTACAAGTGATAACATTGTTTTTTTTTTGTTTAGTTAAAGCAAACATATTAAAAAAATTAGCTTTAAATGATTAACGTTCACAACCCTAGCTCCAGTTTAGCATTTTGTCTGGGATGTAACAGAAATATCAAGCAGAACAGCTTGCAAACGAAAATAATGCTGTAAGGCCTGCATTCTCAATAGTACATAATATAGCCAATCTGGATAGCAGACAACTCTTGCATCCTTATCTCAAAGAGCTTGTAAGAAGCCCCTTTCCCACAAAGTAAATAATTAGTTATTCATTTCCACAATAAATGGCACAATTAGTGAGTTATTAAATTCTTTCTGTAAATGCTTTTGCTGGCAGTGACAGCTAGAGAACAAGCTAAATAGGCACATGAAGGAAAAATATCCCTCTTGTCTGAACCCATTTTCAAAAACAGGTTCAGCTAATACCAGTTAATCAGGTTTCTCTTGGGCAATGTTTTCAGCCTTTTTTTTTTTTTGGCTTGAGTGTGATGGATCACAAAAAGCATGTCTAGCCCATATAAGCTAGGTTTGGAGAAGATTTAAATTTCTGTAACTTTTTTCCTAATGTAGAGTTGGTGCCTAGAGACTGCAAGAGATCAAAGCCCTGCAAATAGATTTAGATGTCAGGATTTATAGTGCAAAGAGAATAGGAAAGATGATAAATGGCATTAAAAACATAGTTTAAAAGCTTAATCCTGCAAGCCCTGTTCACAAGGAATTTAAATCAATGCAAAATCTACATGTGGAAGAATTACAGGGAGTCAGAAGTAGGCCCTGAAATAGGAAAAATAGTCTCTCAGATCCAACCATAAACAGTGTGGAACAAGCAACAGAGGGTCCTGTGGCACCTTTAAGACTAACAGAAATATTGGGAGCATAAGCTTTCGTGGGTAAGAACCTCACATTGACCAGGGAAAACAGCAATGCAATTATTGGTAGGTAACTTAAAAACAAACCAACAAACCCACCAGAGTATACAGGAACTCATACAAATGGATATAACAGACCCCAACATCCAGGTGCTACAGAATGTTACTGTCACTCAGAAAAGAAAAACTCCACTAAAGCAAGTGCTGAACCCTTTGCAGGTTTACCACTCAAATACTCTTTTGTAGTATTCAAATCTTTGTATCCTTTTGCATGTTTAGATGCTATTCTTCTGAAAGGAAGAAAAGTAGATTATAGAGTAGGATCAGACAAATTGAAAATATATATTATTTTGCAAAACACTATCACATGGATGAACCGGGTGCCCACAAATCCAAGGGGACCGAGGTAATAAGCACAATTCGCACACACACGAGGACTTCCATTTAGACACTCATTTGAACTGCTCCATTTACACACGCGCGGGGAGATTTGCTTCATTAGTACACCCCTGCCGTGTGCACATACAGCTGGCGAAAAGGAGGACTCCCCCTACATTTACACGGATATCCAGATTGGGGGGGGGAAAGACTCCAATATTTGCACTAGCATCTAAGAGGGTCCCACCGACTTGCACACACAGTGGGGGTGTGGAAGAGAAACAGGTGCGCCCCATGATTTTTAGCACTCACGCACCCCCATTCGTTGCACACCCGCCCAGTTCCCGCGCCCCGCACCCGCCAAACTTCAGGCTAAGAAACTTTCCAAACTTGCCGCAGTTCAGCGGTCAGGCGTGGGCGTGGCAGAGAGGGCTGCGGGTTGTGATTGGCTGAGCGGGCAGGGCGCCGGGTTGTGATTGGCTGGGCTCTGTCCCCCCCTCAGGAGGGTGGGGAGCGTTCGCTGAGTAAGCAAGCGGCGAAGCGTCTCTCTTACAGCGGGTTAAATTCAAATCGGCAGCGAGCGGCACCGGCAGCTAGAGCGGGGCCTGCCCTGCAGCCTCCGCGCAGGTAGGTGGGGGCCTCGTCTCCGGTTAGCCGGCCCCTGCGAGATCCCAGCGGGGCCTCGCTCCGCGACAGGTGAGGTGTAGACCTAGCAGGGATGGCTACCGAGCGCGGGGAGCTAGTGGCGCCAAACGTTTAAACCGGATCCCGGAAGAGCCTCGCCCATTCCCCACCAGCCAATCAGCGCGGCGCCCCGCTGGCTGCTGCTGTGTGATTGGTGCGTGTGCGGGCGGGGGCCCGAGGTGGGGTCGGGGAGCAGTTGGGGCTCGCAGGGTGCGGGTTAGCCGGGCGGCGGCGGGCCGAGCTGCGTGAGGCGATCCCGGAGCCTGTCCCACCCCCGCGCGGGGCTCGCTGTGCCGGTGACGCGGGGCTCTGCCGGGGGAGCGTTGGCAGGTGCCGGGCGCCCCGCGCCGACGGGCACGTCCCGAATCTCCTGTCGGGCCGGGCTCGGTGCTTCCCGGCTGCAGGTCTCCGCCCAGCGTCGTGCCCTCGCCTGCCTGCCTCACCCGCTGGTGCGTTCCCCTCCCCAGGGCTCGTCAGTGCTGCAATGCCATCGCCGCTGCCCACAGCCCCGCGCCTTCGATGACCTTGCGCAGCCCGGCTGGCCCAGGAGCGGCGAGCAGACCCGGAGAGCCCGGCTGGCCCAGGAGCGGCGAGCGGACCCGGAGAGCCCGGCTGGCCCAGGAGCGGCGAGCGGACCCGGAGAGCCCGGGGGTGAAATGGGGACCGAAGAGAAGGTACTTCGTGAGCCTGACGCCGCGCTGGCATAGCTACCCTGCAAAATTAGGTTGACCTCCGTTACGTGGGCATCCAGCTGCCATAGTCATTACATCACTTGTATGTGTCCTCGCAAAGCTCCTGGTGCTGGCGGTGTGCGTCCCCACCAGGAGTGCTTGTACTGTCAGTGTGGGGCTGGTGGGACAGCTTCTGAAAGCCAGTAACAGGTGATGTAAGTAACGTAGCCTAACTACATTGACTCTAGGAGCTTGTCTACACTACCTGCCGGATTGGTGGGCAGCGATCGATCCAGTGGGAGGGGTCGATTTATTGCTTCTAGTGTAGAGGCAATAAATCAACCGCTGAGCACTCTCCCATCAACTCCGGTACTCCACCAGAACGAGGAACGCAAGCGGAGTCAACGGGAGAGCGCCCGCTGTTGACTTACCACAGTGAAGACACCGCGGTAGGTAGATCTAAGTACGTTGACTTCTGTTATGCTATTCACGTAGCTGAAGTTGCGTATCTTAGATCGACCCCGCGCGGTAGTGTAGACAAGCCCTATGCTTTTGGAGGTGGAATTATTAAATCGGGGTAGTTACGTTGGCAGGAGTGAAATTTAAGTGTTACATACTTAGGTTGATGTAAGCTGCCTTGCTTCGACTAACTCTATAGCATAGATCAGGCCTTAATCATGTGTTAACCCTGCCCGATGTGACTGTTTAACTCTGTTGTAAAACCCACTTCACTTGGCATTGCCGTATAATTGTCCTGCCCCGCCATAGTGAGTCAGGCTGACAGTGAGCCTCGATGGGGAAAGCAAACGTGACTGTTCTGCTTGTGGTGGTTTTGCCTGGTTCGATTCTACAGGCGACAAGAAAAACCCTGCAATTGTGAATAAAACCTTTTTTTAAAAATCACAGATTCCAGCAAACTGCAATAGCTGCATTGAACCCACTTTAGTTACTATCCTTTTTTCCTAAGATTTTGCTACTGCTACTAAGTAATTGAATTTATATTGAATGTATTTCTGCAAGCTCTGTGTGTTGAATGCCATTTACAGGGGTAAAACTTCACTGAATGGAGGGCTTACAGAGGAAGGCCCAAAATATATTGTGTTGTGGGGCGGGGGGTTTAAACCAATTCCATATATTCACATGCTGTAAAGTAAATTAACAGCTGTCTGAAAAACTTTATTTTAAAGTGTCTGGAATAAAAAGGAAGATTGATGGCAGGTGTGATAGGTCTTTAACATTTATAGTATATCAGTGACAAAAAGGCACAGTTAAAATGGAGCCCCATTTTCCTAGGTATATCAAATAAACATAGAAGAAACAATACACAGCTTGAAATGTACAGAGCATGTTACATATTATTTTCAGTTATACAAAAGTGATAAGTAAATGTCTCAAGCATTAACCCAAAAGAACCTTTCATTGGACGTCAGAGTTAGTATTTGGTTTTTTGCCTGATGCAAGCCATTCCATCCTGCAGCAAGAGTCAGCTCACAGTAGTGCAACAGATTTGAAATTTGTCATATGTCTCATTTCTCTTAGCAAGAAGATTGGCCCTGTGCTGGAAACGCTCTAGCTTTATTTATCAAAAAAAGGAGGCAGCTTTTTCTTATAAAATGTTGAATATATAAACAAGCATGCCCATTCCTTAGCATGGCCTGATATAAGCAAAAGCAATATAAGTCACTAATTCATGGCCCTTAATTTTTGTCTTTTCCTTTTACTGGTTGTTACCCCCACTCTACCCCTCTTCAGTGAAAGGGATTACGGGCAGCTTGGTGGGGGGCCTCATAAATGTTAAAAACTACTGTTGATGAACAATGTATCTGACAATCCTTGGCATTATTCCCCCCAAAATGGGTAAACTAGCATTTTTGCATTGGATTAACAGTCAGAGTTTTATTTTAAGTTCTTTTATTTTTTTGTTTTTTACTTGATGCAAGCAGGAAAAGGCCATATTGCATGCTATAAACCCCGGGGTCATCGTAACAGACTTTCTTCAGCCAAGACTTCATTGGCTTAATAGAAGTCTTAACTCGAGTAAAGATTTCAAAATTTGCCTGTCGGCTACCCAAGAGAATAAACTGATTGGTAGTTGACTAGAATAAAGAACAGTATTGGAATGTAGTCTTATATATGACATTCTGATTTTATGAGATAATTTTTTTATTTTTATTTTTTGGGCAGGAAAATCACTCTTCTGAGCCACAAAGAAGGATATTGAAAACTCCTCTGAAACAGTCAGCTACCTCATATTCAGTATTAACGGAAATCCAGCCTGATTCTGGACCTCTGACAACACCCCCTAAGTCTCAGGAAGTTCCTCCTGGAGATCCATGGACACCCACTGCTAACCTTAAAATACTGATCAGCGCGGCTAGTCCTGAGATTAGAAACAGAGAACAAAAAAAGGGACTTTTCGACAGAAATGAAATCGTAGAGGCAAAACACTGTTTACATGTATGTTGTAAAGATTTTTGTAAATTAAACTGGGGGTTGCCTATTGTCTTGATGCAAGTCTAGATACTAGATTTTTTTTCTTTTTTTAAAGATATACTTTAATTCAAAAGGAATTATTTTGGGGAAGTTCTATGTTATACTGGAAGTCAGACTAGATGATCACAATGGTATCTTCTGGCCTAGGAATCTGTATTTGTTCAGTATTGAAAACTAACTAGGCAAGTGAACTTTAACATATACCACCTTCTTTGTTTAGATTTTAATTCTGGAATATTAGCTATTTGTGATACCATTTTAATTGTTAGACATAGCAAACACTGTTTGCTAGTTTTATTATTTTGAGGCTTTCCAGCTGTTGAGCATAAGGCACTTGGTATTGTTCATCAATCCCAGAGGCTGGCAGTAAATCTGCCAAACTTAAAATTTTTACGTAAAACATTGAATTCCTGTTTCCTTGTTTCTGTGCAGGAGCATTTATCAGGAGATGAATATGAGAAATCTCAACCAAGCCGTAAAGAGAAAAGTCTAGGATTATTGTGTCACAAATTTTTAGCTCGATATCCTAATTACCCCAGCACTGCAGAGAATAGTGATATTTGCCTTGATGAAGTAGCAGAAGAGCTTAGTAAGTCTGTGCGTGTACTACAGTGTTTATGATTGGGAATATGTACTGACCTGTTCCTATGAATATGCTGGTAAAGCCAGCATCTCATTTTTGGTATGTATTTTCACAGTTAAATTATGAAAGTTTGTGTGCATTCTGAAAATTTAATTTTAGTTCGTTCCTTTTTTTTTTTCCTTAAGAAAAGAAAGAAATCCTCCATTTTTATAACAATCCTTTTCTGAGTTTGAAATGGAAATCTATTTAACAAAATTGTTATTCCTCTGTACATACTGTCTTATTTCAGAACATTTTAAGAAAAAGAACTTTAAATTATATATTATATAGAACATGTAAATATTTACCACAACTACTGGAAATAACTTGAGTCCAGTTTTTGGTTCTCCAAATTATGGATATGATCAGTGATTGGATGAGTGGGAAATGGGCAAGGCTTAAATTGTGAGTGCAGCTAGAGAACCACCCCAAGTGTGACATCAAAATAAGATGTGATTTGTTGTAGACTATGTATATTAACAGAAATGATAGTTCCTTAAATCACCATGCTGGGTAAACCAACTTCAAAGAAACATATGCTAAGAACAATACTACATGATCCAAATTTTAAGATGAATGTATTAATAGTCTTCCTCCTTATAGATGTTGAACGTAGACGCATATATGATATTGTGAATGTGCTAGAGAGCCTGCATATGGTGAGCCGCCTTGCCAAAAATAGATACGCTTGGTACGGGCGTCATAATCTCAACAGAACACTGCAGACTTTGAAAAAAGTTGGCGAAGAGAACAAATACACACAACAAATTGAGATGATCAAGAAGAGAGAGTATGAGTTTGAGTTAGATGGTGACAGAAATGAAGAGATGGCGACAAAACCTGTTGGCCCAAATGAGCATTCAGAAATGTGTTTTGTTGAACTCCCAGGGATGGAATTTCGAGCAGGTAATGATTTTCTATTAATGCCAAGAAGAATATACATCTGTAATTAAAAATATCCAAACACAGGGAAACAAATCTCTTAAATCCTAGAGCCTGAAATGCAGCAAAAATGTTATGCAAAAGTGTCATTCTTTTTCAGCTGTTTTAATTAAGACCAAGATTCTTGTTGACAAACATTTTTGTTACTTAATTTCTGAAATATTTTTCAGAACTTTCATTTCAGATGTCATGTCACTTGATACATTTTAATCCTTTCTCCTTTCCGTACAGCTTCAGTAAACAGCAGGAAAGACAAGTCTTTACGAGTGATGAGTCAGAAATTTGTGATGCTGTTTCTTGTATCAACTCCTCAAATAGTGAGCCTTGAAGTTGCTGCTAAAATTTTGATTGGAGAGGACCATGTAGAAGATTTAGATAAAAGCAAGTTTAAAAGTAAGTAAATTGCTGCTGGAGCTGTCTCGGTTGAGTCTGTATTTACGTAAGTTTTGTCTCTGATAATCTGTTTTTGATTTTTCTTAAATGGAATATTTCATTTGATTTACTATTACAGCTGTTGTTTCTAGGGATTCTTGCAAACTGTAATCCCTATACACAATGTTGCATATTGTGAAATGTAAGGGGAATCTCTCTTTTCCAATAATATATTTCTAATTAAGTTATACAGGAACTAATTATACCTTTAACACTAGGTGTCCCCAGGATCTATTTGTAGAGAGGCAACCAAAAGATTATATAAGGAAGACTTGAACAAAGCTACTTTATAGGGCTCTACCAAATTCACGGTCCATAGTGGTCAATTTCACAGCCAGGGGGTTTTAAATTAGTCATTTTCAGATGTTTACATCTGAAATTTCATGGTGTATCATGGGAGTCCTGACCCAAAAGGCGGTCAGTGTGGGGGGGAAATCGCAAGGCTATTGTAGGGGGACATAGGATTGCCACCCTTACTTCTGCCCTGCTGCGCAGCCAGAGGGGAAGGCAGCTGGCTGGGTCCTCAGTTGTAAAACCACCGCCAACCGCAGCACAGAAGTGAGAGTGTAGGGTATAGGTTACCATATGTCCGGTTTCCCAGCAACCTCCCGCTGGAGTGGCGGGGGGGAAAAGGGGGGAGCGTGTGAGACAGCTGGAGCCGCAGCCTCTCTGTGCAGGGAGGCAACAGCTGGAACCGCGGACCTTCCTGTGGCTGGGGGAGATCCTGGAGGTGGGTCTGACCCACCCCGGGAGCACCCCTGCAGGGGACGTGGAAGTCTCATCCCTCGCCATCCCCAGCTGGGCACCAGATTTCATGGGGGAGATTAGATGACCGTGAAGGTCCATGATGCATTTTTTCACATCTGTGAATTTGGTAGGGCCCTAATTATGAAGTGACATCATCATGTTGCTTATTGGTAACTGTCTTTTTCATGATGAAACTTTTTTTATTTTTTGTTTTCCCCACCATCTGTCACAAAGATTTGAGTGTCCCTGCAGTAGACAGGTCTTCATTTTGGTTATGTAGCTCTGTTGGTTGAAATCTAGAGAGATTTCTAGAAGTCCAGGCAGTAGTTAATCTCATTGGAGGAAGTAGAATTTAAAATTTTGTCTCTGTCAACTCTAATTCTGTGTCATATCTCCTTAATTGGTATTTTATTTGTAAACCCTCAATACTGCCATTGATTCACAGACAAAACTCCCATTGGCTTTTGTGTGAATTGTGCATGTGGAGTAATGATAGGATCAGGTCTCAGTTAGTAGTTTCCTTTCCACTGCATCATGTTAAAATTATTAGGATGTGTGTGGTTTTTTCTTTCTCCCCCAGGAACTGGTATGTCTGACAAAAAGCATTTCAAGGCCATTGCTTATATTCAGGGAGATGCTATCTTTTTGTAAATGTAACTAATGTATTACCACACTCTTGGTTAACAAGGATAGCCCTGAATTTTGTGGACAATTTGCCAGGTTTTTATTTTTTCAATGGGAGAAACTCGGCCTGAACATGTTCTGGTTGAAGTCAAGCTCTTTGTTGGTAGTTCAATTGGTTTTTAAAACCATGGTGGTGGTATCTGAAATTATTAATTAGGATATTGTGGTGTATAGAAAGATTCTGCAGGTGAATGATGATTCCAGTGTATTTTAGGATATTTCTGTTCCTCCTCCCACCTATTTCTAGCTGCTGACTTTCAGTGTAAGGTTTCTCCACGTTTGCACAATATAGAGGCCCAGATATTAAAAAAAATCTTGGTTGAAGACTAAATTGTTCTTAAAGGATCCAAAATAGAGTTCCTCATATGAGTTGCAAAATGAGTAACCTCAGTTGTTGCTTTTGATTTTGTGTATCATAAATACAACAGCATGTTGGGGGATGGGGAAGCATCTTTAGCCTAATGTGAAATAAGTGACTTAAAGTGTGCTTCTAATGAACCCAGAAATGCTATACAGAATTCATTAATATATTTGTTTTATTTCAGCCAAAATTAGGAGATTGTATGACATAGCTAATGTTCTCAGTAGTCTTGAGCTTATCAAGAAGGTTCATGTTACAGAGGAGAGAGGCAGAAAGCCGGCATTCAAATGGACAGGACCAGAGGTTTTACCAGGCATTCAGGGTAGGTGTACTACTTTGCTTTCTTTCTGCTGTCTTGATTGGCATGAATTGCAGTTTTTCCCCATGAAAAGCTTAGACTGAAGTTGAATTTTTCTCTAAAGGTTTTTTTTTCCAGTTTGTCAAATAATCCCTGCAGTCTAATCACCAAACAAATATTAAAAAGAACTGTTTTATTATTCAGGTTATATGTGATATTATTTTACATTTTCTGTTTTAGATACAAAACCTGTAACTACTACCACTTCCTTGATTCCATCTAATTCTGCAAAATCTAAATATCTCAAAGAGCAGTGTTCAAAAAATCTCTTCCCTTCAAGAGGCAAGCAAAGCTTCACTCGGCATCCATCTCTAATAAAGCTAGTAAAGACTATAGAAAGTGACCGGAGGAAGATCCATTCTGCCCCAAGCAGCCCCAGCAAGACAAGCACAAGTATGTAGTTGAAAAGCAAACTGCAGTATCTTACTCTGGATAGGCTGTTAGAGAGACAAGGTGGGTGAGAGAGAGAGTTCAGATAGTTCAATCTTAGTCCTGCCATGAATGTAGGAGACTAGACTAGATGACCTCTTCAGGTTCCTTCCAGTCCTATGATCTTGTATTTAGCTGTGCCTCTCTGAGTACCTTCTTCTTGTCTGGGAAAGAGCTCTGTGTAGCTCAAAAGATTGTCTCTCCCACCAAAAGAAGTTGGTCCAATAGAAGATATTACCTCACCTACCTTGTTTTTCTAATATCCTGGGATTACACAGCTACAACAACAGTGCATACAACAATGGATATGCTATTAACATATTGTATGGGATCTCTTGTTAAATAGACATTGATGTTTAACCTCTTCAGGTAAAAGAAAGGGTGCGTGCATGCTTGAAATGCAAACACAAGTTCTGATTGACTGATACTGTCAAAAACAGGCATAATGGGAGCCAACAGAGAAGTTTGGCACTTAGTAATATATGTACAGTGCTTTACATCTGAGGCCTGAGAAGATTGATAATGAGGACAGATTCCAAGTGCTTTGTCTTCTGAAGCTAATCCATATAACAAAATATAGGAAGCTGTTCCCTCTTTGATGGATCAAATCTAGACCTGGTGTCAGTAGGTGCAACAAAAGAGTTGCAACCATTTTACAACTCTTTACCTCAGGTCTAAATTTGGCTCACTATTTGTAATTGCCTACTCCTGTTACATAGCTTGTGTGCTTTCACAAGTATTTTTTTATTAAAGAAGAAAATTAATTAATTTTTACATAACTTCATTTTGACTTTTTTATAGTGCTGCGTTTAATAGCTTTAAGTAGTCTGTTAGGAATATGTTCTATGGATATGAATACTGTACCTTTCTCTGCACTATGGCTAGGTTTGGCACAATTAGACTTTTATATTTTTATAACTTCAACCCATAATATTGATTATTTTTAAGCAGCCTTTGCTGTTTTTATCTATTTTTAAATTTTCTCATGTGGGGAAACTCTGGGGAGCCAGAGAATTATTATTTAATTATATTAGATGGTGAAATTCAAACAGTTAAAGCTTTATAACTGTTAAAACACATACTGTCAACATCACGTGCCAAAATATACAAAGTAAACGTCCTTAAATCAAATTCTAAGTTCTCAAGAAGAATTTTTCTCTTTGCCTATCCATTTCAATAATGGATGGAAATATTTGTCAACAAAACTAACGTTTCCTGACATTTACTGATAAAAATTCAATCCTTTCACGCCTAACTATGGCTCAGCCCCCTTCTGAAAGGGCCACATTTAAAGTTGAGATGACCATTTATTCTTCATGTAAATGCAATTCTTGGGCTCGGAGTCTGCCAGCCAAAGTATTTAATTAGTGCCTCATGTTGTCTTTTGTGGATGCTTCTCTACAAAGAACTGAACTGAAGCCTCCAACTTAAGCCACTATCCAACTGACTTATCCAGCCTGAACTGAATGGCAACATGGAGATGAAAGGCTTTCTACCCTGTTACTAAATACTTAAACCATGCAAACTATATAAGTAGGTATTCTTAAAAGTGAATCCAACTTCTATTTATGGCTTTCTTTTCCCCCCCCGAAGCAGATAATGATCAAAATTCATCATCCTTGCCAAGTAAAATGGCCCAGCTTGCAGCAATTTGTAAACAGCAGTTAGAAGGACAATCAAGGTATGTTTACACTAGTGTTATAGTGGGAAGCTTATTTCACCATTGGGCCAACAAGCTTGAGGTGTATTTAGTCAGCTATTGTGAACTAGAGTTAGCCAACCGGTAACTGTTAAACTAAATAATTTTCAGTAGCATCATTTTCACTTTATTTAATGGATGGAGTAGTGAAAATTACATCAAGTTACTCTATTTTTCTGTCATGACATAAAGTGACCAGGGCACTTCTGAATGTATTTAAGTGTGTATTTCTTGTTTTTTCCTTTTAGAGAATTAAAGATGAAATTGACAAGATCTACCTTAGAATGTAAATTGACCTCTAGTGATGAATCTCTTCTGAAATGTGAACCTAATACTACATCATCCTGTCAAACTCCATCTCTTGTTCAGCCACTGGGGGTCCTGCCTCTTATCCATAATTCAGTTTCTCCAGTAATGCTACCTCAAACCCATTCTGCTATTTCATATGCAATATATTTGCATCCTTCCCAAGCCCAGACTGTGACTACGTTACAGTCTGTGCCCTGTCCCAATGTGACTGGAACTAAAAGTGTTTTCAGTGCTAATTCACAAATACCATTTAATCAAATGACCACTGAAGAGAGGGACAGTAATACAGGTGAAGGTGATGCTGGGAACTTGGTGGCTAAAGAGAGACAAGTTACAAAAATTGAGTTTACACCAGAGAGGTGCCTTAAAAGATCTCAAGCATTACAGGAGAACAGTTCAATTAAAAAATGTAGAAGTGATGAGAAAAGTCTTGAAGATGTTTATACAGTAAGTAATATAACAAAAGGTATAGTTTTTTACTTTAATATTGTAGTGTGATGACCTACTGTTATAAAGTGCTTGGGATCCTAATAGAAGCCATAAATAAATGCATTGTATAGAACATGGTTTCAGGAGCAATCATGGAAACACTTAATCCTTTGGTTGAGTTTTGTACAAATGTTCTTAAACCTTGATGGAAGTACATTGTTCTACAGACCCACCAGTGGTTGGCTGCACAAAGGGATATCATACCAGTCTTACAGTGTGAGTGCTTCTTATTGTTTGAAGGTGGTGGGGAGAGACTTAGGTGGAAAGATTGCACTGAGTTAAGGGGCTGCTCAAATTCCTGTAATTCCAATTTATGCAAATGTTCAGTGTTTGTAATAATTGTGAATAGACTTACACTTAAGGGTGACTCTTGAACTTGCCTTTTGTGAGAGTGAATGTCCATCAATCCTTTGCTCATAGTTTGCCTGGTGCTTGGAAAACATTCAGATACAATATATAGTTCTGTCAATCAAAGCATATCTTTGCAAGGCTGAACCTTGAATCAGGTTGTCTCTTTAAAAACTAAAGTTTTTGATTCAGAAAAATAACCCCACCTAGAAGTGTTTACAGAGCATTTTAGAAGTATAATCAAAAAACAAATCTGGTAACTTGATTTGCTGTCTGCCAGGGGATGTGATTCAGTCTTTCTGGAGTAGTTCAGGCACTTCTCAGCTCATATAGTGACGCATTCATTGTTGGCTTTATGGAGGAGAGGGAAAGTGGGGATATAAAATTTAAGTATTTCAAGCACTTGTATCTAGTGCGGGGGTGGGCAAACTATGGCCTGTGGGCCACATCTGGCCCATCAGATCTTTTAATCCAGCCCTTGAGCTCCTGCCGGAAAGCAGAGTCAGGGGCTTGCCCTGCTCTGTGCATGCCATGGCACCGCATGGCTCCCTGGAAGCAGCTGACATGTTCTCCCCCCAGCTCCTACGCGTTGGGGCAGTCAGGCATGCTGTCCCAAGCCCCACCTCTGCAGCTCCCATTGGCCAGGAACTGTGGCCAATGGGAGCTGTGGGGGCGGCTCCTGCGGATGAGGCAGCACACAGAACCGCCTGGCTGTGCCTCCGCATAGGAGCTGAAGAGGGGAGGTGGCGCTGCTTCCAGGAATTGCTGGAGGTAAGTGCCGCTTGAAGCCTGTACCCTTGAGCCCCGCCGCACTCCAACCCCCTGCCCCAGCCCTGATTCCCCTCCTGCCCTCTGAACCCCTTGATCCCAGCCCAGAGCCCCCTCATGTACCCCAAACCCCTAATCCACAGCCCCAAGCCAGAGCTCGTACTGTCAGCTGGAGGGGTGCCCCCCCCGCACCCCAACCCACTGCCCCTGCCTGGAGCCCCCTACCCCCAATTTTGTGATCATTCATGATCTGCCATACAATTTCCATACCCTGATGTGGCCCTCAGGTCAAAATGTTTACCCACCCCTGATCTAGTGTTATTAATTCCTGACATCTTATATAATGGGCTATATACCATGAACCAAACTATTAAGAGAATAAAAAGCTGAAATTTCCTGTTCCAGATCTCTAGGTATGTGAGCTGCGCTGGTACACTTGGGGAATGGGGACATGGATGTCTTTCTGACCCTTGTTTCTCAATCCTGGGGACAGTTGATGACCTTTGGCCTCCTAGTGCACATTAGCAGTCCTTAGGCTGTTCTCTAAGTTGTGCTTGCTAGAACAGCTCTAGATCAGTGCAGTGTGTTCTGACCATGCCCCTTCCCAACCATGGAACATCTAGTATGCTGGTGGGGGCACAAGTGGGTAATGTAGAGCCTGCTGTGCTGGGACTTTAGGCTCCTGCAGCACAGAGTGATAGAGTGGGGTTTGATGCTACGGCTCCTTAAGAGCGGGCTTTTTCCAATAGTATCCACAAAAGATTAATGAATGAAATCAGTTTTTGAGACATAAAATTAAAATATCTAATAATGAAAGCAAATACATTATTAAAAATATATACTTCTTAATTACACCTACTGTAGATATCTAAAACCCATCTTTAAATGCTTTGTTTTTTTGTTTGTATGTACTACATAATTTTTCAGGGAGATTCTCTTAAGGGTGAAAGACCATCTTCTAGAGCTGTGCACTTAGAGCCTGAAATCAATCATTTCCAAGAGGGAAGCCAGAACAAATCTGAGAAACTAGATCAAAATATGGAATTTTGCTTTGATCATGAAAGGAGAGAAGGTCTTTCAGAAGATAAAAGCAGAGCCAGTACTACACAAGAGATGCCTGTTGCATTTGCTGTTCCTGCTCATGAGGTATACTTTCCACTAATTGGAAAAGTGCAACTTCCCAAAGATTTATTACTTTCAGAAGCAGAAATTTAACAGTCAAAGCATACATACAGGAAACCTGTGGTGCATTTGGTCTACAGTCTACTCTTAAGCTTTTGTTTCTCATAGGACTCTACTGTATTAGGCACACAAACAGGGGAGGTAGAAGAGACTTCAGCAATATTTGTCATGGAGCTGGCTTATCTGATAAGTTGACTTCATTAGAAATTCTGCTGGAGAGTCTTTAGTTTTCCTCTTATGCTTAATTTCAAAGGTTTATTTGGCTTACAGTAAAAGCATGTGAATTCTCACATGACTAATCCAAAAACTTCTTATAGTTCTTAACTTCTAAAATTTTTGATTGAACAGCATAGGACAATGCTCAAATTTAATGGCACTGACATATAGTGAGACCTTGTAATTCTCAAAACCTGGTTCCTTTTTTTAAAAAAATATATAGTATATTTTTTAATAGAACATGAAATATTTATAAACCCCTTGCCAGAATAAATGAGCAATCTACTTTTGTTTGTTTGCTTTCTTGCTCATTTGCAAAACTCAGCACTCCACAGTGGGTCTCATTATTAATGTATCTATCTGTGTCTGGGATGAGATGCGAGTTCTCTTGGCACAAACAGACTTTTATATCAAAAAAGTATTTTACTCATGTTGGATTCTTGCATCAAAAGTCTCATCTGACTTGAGAATGGAATGATGTTGCCATCTGACTCCAGACTCTGGTTTGTCTAATTGTGCATTCAAAAAAGCTGTCAAAATTTGCTTTAAAAACATGTCTGGCCTAATTGGAGGTTAACAGAAATGCAGCACACTCTTACTTCTTGAGGAAAGGAAGGCTTTGAGTTACATAATGGAGATTGCCGCCAACTAAAGATCTGTGTTTGGGGGGGTCTTGTCCAAGCCTTTGGCAGACGTCAATCAACAGAAACAGATGCAGCATAGGACCTAGAGGGTGGGGAGAGTGAAAAATAGGGCTTTCTTGTGGAATAAAAATTATCCCTGCAGAAACACATCATGAATATGTTTCTTATTGCACCTGTACAAAAAGATTATCCTTTCTTTTTCAGACCTTGTTTCCTTCAGGGTATATTATTCCTCTTGCTCAGTGCACGCAACATGGCAACGAGGCCATATTTTCTAATAAGGAAAAGTCTGGGATATGTTCGCTACCACACATGACCTACAGTTCACCCATTGCAGGTGTGTATATATATATACACACACAATATATAAATATTTATATATGTACAAGGGTTTGCCGGGGCTTGAGCCTCTCCGGGGTGTCAGGGAGCCACACCGGCTTACTACACCCCGTTGAGTTTGGGGGGGATTCGTCTGGCTGTGGGGTCTCCCTCGGCAGCCCTTGCTGTAATTGGAAGCAACATGGTAAACCCAGCCCTAGGTCAGGGCGGGGCAACAAACGCTGAGTCAGGGCTCGGGCCCTCAGTCAGGGCTGAGTAACAAGTACAAAAGGATTAAGCCCAGGCCCTAGGTCAGGGCGGGGCAACAAACGCAGAGTCAGGCGCTCAGGCCCTCACTCAGGGCTGAGCAGTAACAACAGGTCACAGCCTCCTCAGGACAGAGAGAGGGGGAGTCTGCCACCCACGAGTTGGGTGGCGGGGGGACGCAGGCCCTCCCACTCCACTGCGTCCCAGCCTGGGGCCCTAGCAGCGACAGAAGACCTGCTGCTATCAGTGGGGATCCTGGCTGCAACACACCGACATAGGCTCTGTGGCAGTGCTGCAGCCTGACTGGGGTCAGCTGCCCCCGGGCTACTTCCACACTCCCCCTCGGGGCCTACCTGGGTCCTGGTGTTGGCCTCTGGGGGATCCAGGACCATGGGTTCTTCAGGGCAGGGATTGATCAGCAGGCCTGCCAGCTCCTCCGGATAGCGGGCGCAGGGCAGGCCCGGCAGCGCCTGGCGGCCGCCTTGGGCCACAGAGTTTTCCCAGCCACGAGCTAGGCTGGAGACGTCTGGTCCCTCCAGCAGCTGGGCCTTCACTGAGTTCTGAGGGCAAGCCTTTATACTTCCGGGCCGCCGCCTGACCCTCTGAGGGGCGGGCTCTGAGCTCCCTAGCTCCGCCCACTCTGGCCTCTGGATGGGCTCTTCCCCCTCCGGGGTGGCGGAGGGCCACACCGCCTCGCTACAATATACATTTAAGTTCTCTGGTTTTGAGCATTGTGGACCAATTTCACCCAACAGAAGTCAGTGAACCTATACCAGTGATGGATTTCACCAGTAGGAGTCCCAGGGTGTATCTACAGTGCAATAAAAAACCCACAGCAGGGAGTCTCAAAGCCCAGGTCAACTGATCCAGTCTTGCGGGGCCCAGGCTGCAAGGCAAAAAAACTAGCAGTGTGGACAGTTGGGTTCGGGCTGGAGCCTGGCCTCTGAAACCCTCCCTCCTCATGGGTTTTGGAGCCTGGGCTACAGCTCAAGCTGGGATGTCTACACTGCTATTTTTAGCCCCCCAGCCTGAGCCTGAGTCAATTGACCTGGACTCTGAGACTTGTTGCCATGGGTCTTTTACTGCAGTGTAGACAAACGCCTCATCTGTTACAGGTTGATTTTTAATTTCCACCTCATTTTTCTTTTACAGGTGTCGTTCCAGTGACAGCTTCCGAATTTACAGCAGTTAATATTCCTGCTTTTCATGTCACACCCTTGAAGTTAATGGTATCACCATCTTCTATAGCTGCTGCACCTGCAGTAAACAGCTCGTGTCTTAATTCAAGCCATAGTAATCCTGTCCAAAACCCAAGCTCTTCAATTCTGAACTTTACACTACAACACTTAGGACTCATACCTGCTGGTGTGCAAGTTTCTCCAAATCCTGTGCTTCAGCCAGTGCCAATCTCTCCAAAACCAGAGCATGTTAGTCCTGTTTCAGAGAATGTGAGCTTGCAACAAGGAAGAGTGTTTAAAAATGAATCACAGATAACTGAGTGTGACTTAAATGGAAAATCAGATGCAGTAATTCCTTTACAGCAGGTAAGATAACTGTCAACTAAAAGTTTTCCATCTTATTTTAAGTGTTAGATATTATTTATAGAATAGTAGTGCCCAAAGGCCACAATCAAGGAAAATTTGAGTAATGCACAATAAAGATTGGTATTATTGCTAGCAGGGTGGATTGATTTAAATCAAAGCAATTTAAATCACCAGTTTTAATCATGGTTTAAATCAGCAATCAGGAAAACTTTATTTAAATAATAGATTTTAATCTTATTTTGCATTTGTTGCAAGATTGATGTGTTGGAAACATAAGTAAAAAAGTTTATCAAAGTTTATTAAAACATGTTTTGCCATTTAAAACTAACTGATCCATTAAACAAAGTATCTGTAATTAGAGAATTGAACTGATTGTTTCTGGTCACCATGTCCCGCAAGATTTTCTAATTAGTAGATCTCATCCTCTTATATCTAATATTTATTCATAGATTGATGAAATAGGCTTTTCTGCTTTTTCAACTCCTAATTGGTTTCTTAATTTTGAATGAACCAATCATTGAACTAATTTAGTTCAATAAACTGATACGAAGAAAATGTTCTCTCTGCACCTACAGCTGTCAAAAGCTGGCGTACCATTTCAGTAAACTGAGTCCAAGTGCTTAGGGGTGACTTCCAGCAGTTCGGTGGTTTGACTTTCGTTAAAACTTGGCAGCGTACATTACTTTTAAAATTAATTTAAATGATTTTAATGTATGATTTATTTTTAAAAATTAAATTTGTATTATAACTTTAATAAAAAAAATCCTATTTAAATAAACTGTTTTTAACTTTTAATAGACTTTTATCCACCCCTATTGCTAGAATAGATGGAGGGGTTAACGCGATACCTTGGTAGGTAGGGTGGGACTAAGCCATGAGGAGTCTTTAAGGGACAGACAAAGAACTCGTTTGTTGTAGAGAACAGGGAGCCAGTTGGGGGAATGTAAAGAGTAAGGTTTAGCAAGGACCTAAGACATCTTAGCAATAGCATTTTTGAATTACATTGAGAGGACAAGATGGCATTTATCAAGGCCAAAAGAAGGAAATTTTTTATTTTACTTTCTCTTCTTGAACTCTTATTCCCCTCATGTTGTTATTGTTTATGTACTTAATGTTAAGTTTCAACTCCTGGTTCTACCTCAGATATGCACTAATCCATGGAGTAGGATAATATACATAGTTAATCTGAGGGCAGAATTAGTCTGCATGTTTTGCAGGACATCGTGTTGCCTCAGGGGTGTTCATAAATCTTTGCTCTATAAATAATACATGGGATTAGAAGGGACAAATGACACTCTCATAAGACAGGTATAAATACACTCTTTCAAATATACTGAGAGTGTCAGAATAGACTAGTCAGATTGTTTTGATAAAGTCTTACAAGGTTTTTGAAAATTCTAGCTTTAAGTTTCTATCTAGTTTTATGTGCCTCAAATGAAACAAATGTTCTTTTCCCTTCCAATCAGACTACTGTGCCAGTGAAACCCGAAGAGCCACAGGCAGTGACTGAAAACTTTTTCCGTACGCCTGGAGGGCCGAATGCAATTTCTAGTTTTGCTTCGTCTCCTGCAGATTCAGATGGTGCGGATGGAATTTTACGAGGAAACTTGTTTGCCCCACAAAGAAAACTTGAAGTGTCAGAGGACCAACTTTGACTGGGTTGTCTGGCTGTTAAACTTGTTTCGTGGCTATATTTGCCAGTACAACATGTTGCATGCATCTTAGCATTGTGATTTGGAAGATTTATCCCCTGGAAACCAATTGTAAATGCATTAAGTCCTCAATACTGGAAAAGCCTTATTTAGTTCTTAGGATTAAAATTGGCTCTTTTTTATAAAAGCAAACTAATGTCCATTAATTTCTGCAAATGACTTGTTTAAAGCATTACAACCAACTAGGTACCTATTGTCTTACTCTTCATAACAGTACAGAGCAAAGTAAGCTCTTGGTCATAATTTGTGGTGTTCAGAAACTGAGTAAATACAAAACCACACAGTATCAGTACATGTTTTGCACAATGAAAGTACTGTGAGCATGTAATATATTGTATTTTTAAATAGAAAAGGCTATGGTTAAATATTTTCTACTTTCTTTTTACTCCTACGTTCTTTCAATAATGATCTTGTAAAGTTAGTAAAAAAAAAAAAGTAATCAAGTATGTAAATTAAGAATTATTTATAATGTATTTTTAATCAATTCGTTCACATTAAATTTAAGGCTAAACTTTCCAAGTTTAAGTGGTAAGGGTATTGTTTAATCGAATGAAGTAACCACAGTAACTTACACATAGTATGTCAAGATCTTTTTTATATTGTTCTATGGTAAGAGCATCTCGCTATTAATTTGCATTATAGGAAGAGGAAAACAGTATCTTTATCAGAAGGCAGATATCTTATAGATATGAGACAGACTTTTTGAAACTGCCCTCATAGTTTTGCATCTGCAAATAACTGGGTGTAAATATTGGTGCCCTTTATGTTTTGAATTCACATTAACTATTGAACTCAAAGGAAAACAGGCAAAACTGTAGAGTTTTGTATGGTTTCAGGTTCAAGCTAGGTAAACTCCTCACTAGAGCTGGTTGAAAATTTGTCATTGGAATGATTTTTCCAACAAAACATGGCCTTTTTGCAGAACTGAAATTTTATGTGAGAATTTTGGTTTTGCTGATGATTTTTTTATTTGAATTTTCCAGATGGTAGGGGGGAGAAAAAAGACAGTTCCCTGGCTCTTAGAGCTGGAATGGTTTAGTGGAGAGGCAGAACTCCTGGGCTCTCTGCCTCTCTAGCAGTATGGGGCTCTTGTCATTGAAATTTCACAAGTGGAAAAGAAGCTGGGAAGCCAAAAACAAAACAAAACATCTTTTCTTTAATACCCTTTTGGGGGGCGGTGGGAATAAATACAAATTTGAGTTTTTGACACCTCATCCTGCTTCAGGACAGAACCCTCTTCCCCATTAACCTGAAGAACTTTTTGTAGACCAAACTGAAACACTACGGCCAACAACCTACTTTCTTCTTCTACTAACCTCTGAGAAGTTTGCAACTGGACCCACACTACAAACTGGGGCAATCTCCAAATTTCATAATCCACTATAAATCAGCGTAGCTTCTCTTGCTACTGTACAAGTTTGAGAACCTTGGCACAACTTTCACATAATCTGGCCTGAGTTTTGTGTGCGTAACAGAATCCAAAATTTATTTTTTGTAATACGGTGCTGTAACTATTGCTACGGTGAAAGAAGCTACAATAGCTAATGTTTTCTTAAACACTGGATTATAGAAACATTGAGAGTCAAATTCTGCCTTGATTTACAGCCCATGGAGTTTCCGTTGACCTCTGTGTAAAGGAAGAATGTGGCCCTAAATAAATGATACACGAGAACCAAAATTCAGATCCAAATCTCTATATAAGGATGTTTGCATCAGTTTTCTGTTTTTACCCATCAGACAGCTGGATAAGAAAGTAGATGGCATTTGGGCCCATCTCTCTCAAAAATAACTTTAAGCTGTAATGATGTGAAAGGAAAAATCTTACACTATGGAGATTTACGGGAGGTGTGGACCCGTTTGAAAGTTTCCTCTTGTAACATATTTGCATGGTAAAGGAACTGCCCCCAGTTCAGAAATATACCTTGCTCAAATTCCCTTAGGATTCCATTCACTGATACCAAAATTATTTCCCCTCCCTCACTTTGACATAGAATTCCTAGGAGAAGGCTTTATGGTCAAAACGTTCCTAACTCAATTTTCTGTTTTCAGCATCTTTTGAATTAATATTTAGAATTTTAATTTTAAGCAAATCTACTACCCCCTCTATGTGCAGGCCCCCCACATACCATCTGTTTATATTATTTATCCATATCTGTCAGAGCAATTGACCTTTCTCCATATTAAAGAACCTACTAAGGCAGGAAATAAAGAGCTTAAGCTGACTCCTCTGGTTTGGTGGTCCTTCTTTATAATTCTTCTGCTTTAAGAATTATAAAGAAGGAAAGGATTCTTTCCTGCCTGTTTTTTATATGAGGAATTCAGGTCTGGTCCAACTTGGAAGAACAGGATAATGAGAATACTGAAATGGTAACATCACAAGATGCAAGAGAGTGAAAGCTGAGTGTAGGGATGTAAATAGTGTTTTTAAAAAGTAAATGTTTAAACTATTAAAATTGTATTGGTTAAACGTTTAACCATTAGGTTACGCTGCCGCCCCATGTGCCCAGGATCCCGGCTGCTGGCCCCACGCCTGGGTACTCCACTCCCTTCCTGCCCTGCACCAGGGGTCCTGGCTGTCGGCCCTGTACCCAGGGCCCTGCTGCTGGCAGCCAGGACCCCGTAGTGTGGGGCTGGCAGCTGGGACCCCCGCGTGGGGCTGGCCGCAGAGTCCTGCAGAACACCTTACCGATAAGATTCATGCTTATCGGTTAACCGGTTAACATTTTACATCGCTAGCTGAGCAGGAAAAGCAAAGCATTTAAACTTTAAAAATAAATTTAACATTTATGCCTAACACTTTAGAGAAAGGATGTCTTTGTCAAAGATTCAACACCATCAAACTCCTCCCCACTCCCTATCCTTTCCTTCTGCTAGGAAAAAAGCAGAAATGACTCATATCTGTAAGGTTAAAAAAAATCAGGTTTATATTACAAAGGGGAAAACATTAATCAAATCAATTTAAACTTTTGTATATGTTGTCAGAGTGGGTAGGAGTGAATCATAAACCACATGAATGATCAATGCTAGCTATTAGGGTATTGCCTTTAAGTTCTGCCTATCCAAACTATGAACGTTTGTATATGTTTTCTGACTTCAAGTCACTCTTGTGACTCTTGGCTGTTGTCAAAATTCAGTCAGTTTTGTGTGTTCCAGCACTTTGCTTTGTTCATTTTGCAGACTGAAGACTAGAGTTCTACTCAAAGGGAGACATTCCTGCATTCCCCTGAAGATCTGAATTTCACTTGCTGCTCAGCTGAGCTCACTGTTCCTTCCACCTGTGTAATCTATTCATAGACATGACCTGATTACCTGATTCATTCTCCTGCAACTACTAGCAAACTTCCTTTGATCTCTAGGCTGCCATCACTTTCTTTGATATGCTGCTTTCAAGCATGAGAAGTGCTTTTAGTCCCTGCATGTTTGATTTGTCGCATTCTTCCCCAAAGCATTGCATCTCACATCACCACTGAAAGAGAAAAATTAATGCACTTGCTCACTGATTGTACACTCCAAGTCTCCATTTCCAAATCAGTGTTCTGGCCAGAGATTGTATCCACTGTGAACATAAAAAGGCCCAATTCTTCTTTTTGCCCATATGGCACAGAGCAATAACACTGAGCTGGGATAGTGAAGGAATAGTGCACAGCTCCTAAGGCTGAGAAGCACTCAGATCTGCACTCCGAAGGAATTAGAAGCAGCATCCCTTGCTTCATCGAGAAAATTGCTGGACCCATCCTCTTAGAGGGAGCATTAGTCAGTACCTCTGAAGTTTATTGGGCTTTCTGTACCTATGTCAATTTTCCTATGATTGGTTATGAATATTGTGGAAAATCACATCCCATTTAAGCCATTCCTCCCTTGTGAGGCCCCTGCAACTCCAGGCTGAAATTTACATATCCCTGGCCTGGCTAATGACGAGTGATGATCAGCTGGTTTGTTCATGTTTCTAGATTCCAAGGTAGAGCCATACCATTAATTGACCAATAAGAAGAATATAAGCGCCTGGTGGTCATAAGCCTAGTAGACACCTAATCATGAACTCAGCAGTGCCTTTAATTCCCCTGCTCCATAATCTTAGAAGAAATGTTCAAACCAGATAAAATTGCTGCAGCTGCCTCTGCACTTTGCCTCACTGTCTCTTTTCAGAAACTTTAATGCAATACATCACAAAGTCATTCCAGCTTCTTCCTTTAAATCCCTTCAGCCTGGTAGCTGACAGTAGTTCTGCCCTAAAATAGAGACACAGGTATTCACAGGGGGACCTTTGGTGCCTAGCTGCCATTTTAGGCACCTATGTCCAACATTTAGATGCTGCTGGCATTCACAAAACCCCAGCTCAGCTACTGCCTAACCCTGTAGACAGGGCCGGCGCTTCCACTAGGCGACCCTAAGCGGTCGCCTAGGGTGGCAGGATGTGGGGGGCGGCATTTCGCCGCCCTCGGCGAAATTTCAGCTTCGATTCCTCTGGGCGGGAAGAAAAGCGACCGCGGAAACGCCGCCGAGAACCAGGGCCGCCCAGAGGGGTTTCTTCCGCTCCGGGTCTTTGGCGGAAATTCGGCAGAGGGTCCTTCACTCACTCCGGGACCCGCCACCAAAGTGCCTCGAAGACCCGGAGCGGAAGGACCCCCGCCGTCGAGAATGCAGCTTCAGAGAAGGAGCTGCCGCCAATTACTGAGGAGGAGTGCTGCTGCCTAGGGCGGCAAAAACCCTGGCGCCACTCCTGCCTATAGATGCCCAAATTCCTTAAGACACCTACATTTCTGCGGTTAATGTACCCAAGGTGCCTTTATTTTGGCAGCAGGGCATAGAATCATAGAACTGGAAGGGAATTTGAGAGGTCATCTAGTCCAGTCCCCTGCACTCATGGCAGGACTAATTATCTAGACCATCCCTGACAGGTGTTTGTCTAACCTCTTAAAAATCTCCAATAATTGAGATTCCACAATCTCCCTAGGCAATTTATTCCAGTGCTTAACCACCCTGACAGTTAGGAAGTTTTTCCTCATGTCCAACCTAAACCTCCCTTGCTGCAATTTAAGTCCATTGCTTCTTGTCCTATCCTCAGAGGTTAAGAAAAACAATTTTTCTTCCTTCTCCTTGTAACAACCTTTTACATGCTTGAAAATTGTTATCATGTCCCCTCTCAGTCTTCTCTTTTCCAAACTAAACAAACCCAATTTTTTCAATCTTCCCTATAGATTATGTTTTCTAGACCTTTAATCATTTTTGTTGCTCTTCTCTGGACTTTCTCCAATTTGTCCACATCCTTCCTGAAATGTGGTGCCCAGAACTGGACACAAATACTCCAGTTGAGGCCTAATCAGCACAGAATAGAGCGGAAGAATTACTTCTTGTGTCTTGCTTACAGTACTCCTGCTAATACATCCCAGAATGATGTTTGCTATTTTTGTAACAGCGTTACACTGTTGACTCATATTTAGCTTGTGGTCCACTATGACCCCCAGATCCCTTTCCGCAGTACTCCTTCC